AATCATAGACAAACACCAGGTGTGGAGCAGGTGGAGGCTGGATAGGCTGAATGGCTGTTTGCCATACGGAACTCGATTATGCAGACAATCCCTGTGGAAAGCTGCTTTCTCAGCCAGCTGGTTGTTGGGTGTTTGGGAAGCACAAGCTGGCGGGTCAAGCCACAGCCTGAGGCCTGAGCAGGTAAAAAAGGTAAAGGACCCCTGGATGGCTAAGTCCAGTCAAAGGCGACTATGGGGTTGCGGCACTCATCTTGCTTTCAGGCCAAGGGAGACGGCGTTTGTCCACAGACAGATTTCTGGGTCATGTGGCCAGCATGACTAAACCGCTTCTGGCGCAACGGGACACCAGAAGCACACAAAAATGCCGTTTTCCTTCCCGCCGCAGTGCTACCTACTTATCTACTTGCACTGGTGTGCCTTTGAACTGATAGGTTGGGACAGAGCAATGGGAGCTCACTCCATCATGGGGATTTGAACCACCGACCTTGTCCAAGTGACCCACACCTGAAATCATATACAAACCAGGTATGCAGCAGGCGGAGGCTGGATAGGCTGAATGGCCGATTATGCTGATTGTGCAGATGATCCTTGCAGAAAGCTGCTTTCTCAGTCAGCTGGTTGTTGGGTGTTTGGGAAGCACTGCACAAAGGAGTTCGACAAGCTGGAGCCAACCGAGGCCTGAACATATTGCAGGCAAAGCCCCCTTGTGCTGTGGTTCTCACCTGCCTAACAACTAGCTGGCTGTTAGGTACTTGGGAAACCTCAATGTCAGGTTATTGGCAGGTGGGTTGTCACACACACACCTGCCAATGTTGGCCTGCAGGAATGGAGACAGAGAATTATCTGGCCTGCTAGGCTAAGAAGTCCCAGCTGGGTGCCGCAGCTCACAATGGGTGGGGAGTGTCTGACTCCATCAGAAGGCAGAATATTCTCTCCAGGACATTCCTGTGCTTACCACAGAAACCTGGACGTGCTGGACCTTTCGCTAGTGCCTGTCAGCTGTCTAAGATCAGCAGGAGACCCATACAGGCTGCAGCACAACATGTGCTTTGGATTTGCAGGGGGTAGAGAAATTCTGAAATATTGCCAGGTCTCAAAATTAGAACCACAGGGAAAAGGGGAGTGGGGGGTCTTCGAGGTTTAGATTCCCAGCGGTAGACAGCAGGGGTGCCAACTTGAAAAAAATATTGGGGGGGGGGGGAATAAGCCCCACCCATATAATTGATATTGTGATGAGGTGCGTGCACAGCTCCATATTTCGCAATCAAATCTCTGTCAGTCCCCAACTTTTCTATGGGCTTCTTCATAGCTCTCAATTCTTAAGAAAAAAAGTACCCACTATTCTGTACCTTTCTATAAGGTAAAGGTACCCCTGACCATTAGGTCCAGTCGTGGATGTTGCACTGGGGTTGCGTGCTCATCTCACTCTATAGGCTGAGGGAGCCGGCATTTGTTCACAGACAGTTTCCGGGTCATGTGGCCAGCATGACTAAGCTGCTTCTGGCGAACCAGAGCAGTGCACAGAAACGCCGTTTACCTTCCCACTGGAGCGGTACCTATTTATCTACTTGCACTTTGACGTGCTTTCGAACTGCTAGGTGGGCAGGAGCTGGGACCAAACAACGGGAGCCCACCCCATCGCGGGGATTCGAACCGCCGACTTTCTGATTGGCAAACCCTAGGCTCTGTGGTTTAGACCACAGTGCCACCCACATCCTTTACACCTTTTTGTAAGCTATGCTAAATCCATCAAAAGTGCCATGCATTGAAGTACCCACAACCCCTTGCATGTAGAATTATAGAATTGTAGGTATTTAATTAATTTCCTTTCCAAAAAAGAGACAGGGGGCTGCAGCTTAATGGTAAAAAAGGGTAACGGTAAAGGACCCCTGGATGGTTAAGTCCAGTCAAAGGTGACTATGGGGTTGCAGTGGTCATCTCACTTTCAGGCCGAGGGACCCGGCGTTTGTCCACAGACAGCTTTCCAGGTCATGTGGCCAGCATGACTAAACCGCTTCTGGTACAACAGGACACCATGACGGAGCGCACAGAAATGCAATTTACCTTCCCGCTGCAGCGGTACCTATTTATCTACTCACACTAGTATGCTTTTGAACTGCTAGGTTGGCAGGAGCTGGGACAGAACAATGGGAGCTCACCCCATTGTCGGGATTCAAATCACCGACCTTCCGATCGGCAAGCCCAAGAGGCTCAGTGGTTTAGACCAGTGTTTCCCAACCTTTTTTGGGCAAAGGCACACTTGTTTCATGAAAAAAATCTCGAGGCACACCACCATGCCAGATGGGGAAAGGTCACTTTTTACTTATTCACTTTTTGAATAATAAGAATTATACGTCATGGGGGGGGCAGGATTTTAGAGATGTTTAGGTGGGGCATGGCCCAAAAAAAGGTTGGGAACCACTGTTCTAGAGCAAGTAAAGCTACCCCAGAGGGGGAAGGGTGGATTGAAAAAGTGGAATGAGGACAAGAGCCTATTCTTGCCAGGCTGCTGCTACACCCACTGGTCTTCCAATTGATCCAAATTGGGTCGCAGTGCCAAGTGCAACCGTGCAAACTATATGGCCAAAGATTTAAGAAGCTGGTCCCCCAAGTGCAATGTGTTTGGGTTCAATGTGGAAAAAGTTGACAGCGGCGGGTCTGCACTTGGAGGGCAGGAGCTCTCCAAGGTTTCCAAGCAGGGATCGACGCCGGGAACTGATGTGCCTGGGATCCTTTTCGTGCAAAAACACACCTACACTCTGCCCGCTGAGTCACGACGCGGAAGCCTCTGTGGTTGTTTGATGCTTGTTCAGCATTTGGCGGTCATTCTGGGGGGTTGGGGGTGTCTGGAAGAGGGGCAGCCCCCCGCCAAGCCCCTCGAGGCCCCGTCTCGGCTGCCCTCGCCTCCTTCCCACGGCTCCCGGGGCTCCTTCCAGAGAACAGGAAGGCCCGCGACCTGGGGCGTGTGTATCCCCCCCCAGTCTCGGGCGCCTTCCTCACCCGTTCAGCGGGGGTCCCAGGGGTCGGTTTCCCCCTCCGGGACGAGGCGCAGGACTCCTGCCAGGTCCGCCCGGCACTCCCAGGAGCAGGCGGCCAACAGGCGGCCGGCGGCGCAAAGGGGCCTCCAGCGGCGGGAGCTTTTGCGAGGCCAGCTACCACCGCCAGGCTGCTGCCGCTCGCCATCGCAAGCAGGAAGCCCCCCGGGCTCTGGGCGCCGAGAGGATGCTACGCGGCGGGACCATACGCGGGCAGCGGAGAAGAAGAAGGGCGGCGGGAGAGGGGCGGTTCTCGAGGGGGAACTCAGCTTCCCAAGATCGCGGGGCTCACCGGACGGTTCTTCCCCGCAGGAACTTCCGCCCTTCCGCAGCTTCAACCGTAGACGTAATTAGCATATGATAGGATGAAAGCTGGCCATAGAGAAAAGGCGAAGTTTGGCTGTCCGCAGGCCTGGATTCCCGGGTTTCTTTCGACGTTACAGCCCCGTGACGTCAGCGCCAACGCAGGCAGCCAGATGGCAAGAGCCCCGCGCTGGGCGGCCTCTCCTCGCCGCCGCCGCCCCGCCTCTCGCCGCCCGACTCGCCCGCCTCCCTCCCACGGCACACCAGGCAACGTTCCGCGGCACACTAGTGTGCCGCGGAACACCGGTTGGGAAACACTGGTTTAGACCACAGCGCCACCCGTCCCCTTGGGCTTATTCACACTAATCTGAAGTAAGTTGACCGAATACAGTGGGGTGGACTTCTCAGTAAACATGGATTGGATTGCACGAGTCAACCGGACAACAAGACCCAACCAGAACACTATTTCACTTGAACACTTGTCACTCCTTTACTTCCCTCCTTTCCAGCTGGGTCTGTAAGTCTTCAGCAGCCAATGAAGATAAAGAGATTATCCTCACCTGGATTCCAGGGGTTTTCAGACAGTTAATGAGCTGCCTCTGTGCTCTTCCTCTGAAAGTTCAGGCGGTTATTTATGTATGCCCCTACTGCAGCCTGTGTTTTGTTAGCCCCCAAATGGAAAACAAGCGAGATCTCAACTAAAGAAGAATGGCAACTTAAACTGGTGGAATATGCATAGCTTGCGGATCTAACTTATAGAATAAGAGAGCAAGAAGAACATAAGTTAAAGAAGACTAGAAAATGTTTATTTAACATATGGGGGAAAATCGTGTACGCTTGAAAACATAGGCAGCATTAAGATAAATTCAACAGTGTAAATAAGTTTTGATGGAAGTAATAATGGAATACTGAATGGTTTAGTTATATAAAATAGGGAGGGATTTATGCTATGCAAAATGAACCATGGAAAGAAAAGCAGGGAAGTCATTGGTATTTTAAGGTTGTTCCAATGAATATTCTAAATTGTAAAACAGAAAATTTAGATAGATGATAGATAGATAGATAGATGATAGATAGATAGATGATAGATATAGATAGATAGATAGATAGATGATAGATAGTGCAGGTGGAGGTGCTCTCTCTTTGGTACTGGCGCTGTTGGAATGGGGGCACCCCAGAGAGCGGGCTGCTTTGCCTGAGCTCCTGCCCAAAGCAGTGCATCACTTTGCAACTGAATATCCCAGCATCAACACCCACCTTTCAGTGTCTCTGGTGATGGGAAAGTAGACAGCTCCCATTAAGGCTGCAAACGGACTTCCGAGGAAGGAATCTCCATTTAACTTGGTGGTACTTATTTCTGAATAAAGATGCTTAAAATTCTAAGACAGTGGTTTCCAACCTTTTTGCATCTCTCCTAAGCATCTCTCAAATCCTGACCCCCCCTTATTATTCTGACCCCCCCTCTTATTATTCAAAAAGTGAACTCCTATTCACGTGGAGGAAGCCTAAGTCCATTAACTTGGTCGAAACAAGCTTCCAAATCGTCCCCCTTAAAAATCAAATTGCCCCCTGTGGTTCTAAGAGGTGTAGGTGTCTCGATTTTAACTGTTCAAACAGACAAGAAGGACATTTATCTGGACCAAGGAACAACCATGCAAACATTCAGAAATACAAACATTTCCCGATTGGCTGACTAACACTAAGGCGTAGAAATTTGGCCAGGGCCAGTCTATAGATTGCGACCTTCGGAGGGTGAGCGACACCCCAACCACCGCCCCCCAGTGCCCCCACACCCCACAGCGGCTTACCGAGCTTGCACTCGCCGTCGTGCGCCTTCCGGACGCGCTCCCGGCCGCTGTGGAGGGCGCGCCAGCTGTGCAGGTGCAGGGCGCACACGCTGCTGTAAGAGCGGCCGTCGGAGCCGCAGACGGCGCCGTCTTCCTTGCAGACGCAGCGCCCGGTGCCTTCTTCCTGCTCCTGCTCCTCTTCCTCGGCGGCAGGAGGCTCCGCTTGGCGCTGGCTAACGCACACCAGCCCCGGGCCGCAGCGAGCGCCCCGCGCCCCTCCGCACCGCTCGCCCTCGGCGCTCAGGCACCGCTCGCAGCAGCCGCACTCGTCCCGCGCCGTCAGCTCGGGCGCCGCGCACCGCGCCGTCTCGCACAGCTCGGGCCGGCAGGGAGCGCACGCCGCCTCCGCCGCGCTCCTCGACGCCAGGCACAGCCAAAGCGCCAAGAGCGACAGCAGCAGCCGCGGCGGTAGCGTCGAGCTCCAGACGGCAGACATCACGGCGAGCTGGGCAGGCAGACCAGGCGGGCGACGGCAGCTCAGGAAGGAGCCGTCTAAAGGGGCGCAGCGTCGACGGCAGAGTCAGGGGAGGTGGGTGGGGATGGCGAGAGAGACGCCCCCTAGACGACCACGCCTCCGCACTAAGGAGCCTCAGCGCGCGAGCTGACGGCGACCTTCCTGCGTGCGATTCCTTAGTTCCAGTTTTGAACTCAGCGGAGCCCGACTGCCAGCACCTCGAGGCTCAGGATCAGGCGCAAGCGCTGGTTCTGGAGAAAGAAGAAAAGCTAAGCGGTACGAGAATGGACGGGGAGTGTCGAGAGCAGAAGCGGATGATGCGTCCTTGTGCGTAATTATCCTTTCTTCGCCTGCCTTTTCTCCTGATCAAATCACCTCCGTGCCAGTAGCTAGACCCCCGCTCGCCAGCTGCGCTAAGGGGTTTGTGCGTGTTTTGTTCTAGCCACGAAACAGTGTGCTCCTATCTGCTTCGCTTTGCGGGTTTTGCACGGTGTTTTAAAAACATTACCAGGGATTGACCACATGCAAAGACCTACGGAGGCTTCCTTGTGCCATTAGCGAAGAGGTATGGGCAAGGAGCAACTGGCGGAGCGTGCGGGGTGCCGGGGAGTCGTTGCCCCGGGCGCGCAGAGATGCCCGTCAAGCGGCTGGGTTTGTGCGAAAGGTGAAGAACAGCACCCTCTGCGCCCTGCCTGGGAGACGCGGGCTGGGCGAGCGGAGGGTGAAGAGTTCCCTCTGCGCTTCTCCCACCCGGCGCATGAGCGCTCACCTGTCGGCAGGAGGGCTGGGCAAGGCGCAGCGGGTGCTCCGCCGCTGCAAAGAGCAGCATACCCTCCAAAATTTCGCCAATGAAAATAGGGATAATAATAATAGTAATAATAATTCCCCACCCATCTGACTGGGCTGTCCCAACCACTCTGGGCAGCTTCCAAAATATATATAATGCGCGATAAAACATCACACCTTTTTTATATAAAAAACCACTTCCCTATGCAGGACTGCTGTCAGATGTCTTCTAAAGGTTGTATAGTCACTTATCTCCTTGGCTGGGGGGGGGTGCATCACTCCATACCCTCCAACATTTATCTGATGGAAATAGGGATGTCCTAAAGGAAAGCAGGAGGGACAAGGGTTAAACCACAGAGCCTAGGACTTGCTGATCAGAAGATCGTCGGTTCAAATCCCCGCGACGGGGTGAGCTCCCCTTGCTCAGTCCCTGCTCCTGCCAACCTAGCAGTTCGAAAGCACATCAAAGTGCAGGTAGATAAATAGGTACCACTCTGGCAGGAAGGTAAATGGCGTTTCCATGCGCTGCTCTGGTTCGCCAGAAGCGGCTTAGTCATGCTGGACACATGACCCGGAAGCTGTACGCCGGCTCCCTCAGCCAGTAAAGCGAGATGAGCACGGTCATGACTCGATCTAATGGTCAGGGGTCCCTTTAATAAAGGAAAGCAGGACATTCTGGGATCAAATCAGAAACCAGGAGGGCTTCTGTAAGTCCGGGACTGTCCCTGGAAAATATGGACACTTGGAGAGTCTGGAACTGTATTGTCACCACCCCCTTGGCACCCTTGAGCCCTGCTGGGTGCTTCACTCATACTTCTAATACTCTCATAGGTAAAGGTAAAGGGACCCCTGACCATTAGGTCCAGTTGTGACCGACTCTGGGGTTGCGGCGCTCATTCGCTTTACTGGCCGAGGGAGCCAGCGTACAGCTTCCAGGTCCTGTGGCCAGCATGACTAAGCCACTTCTGGCGAACCAGAGCAGTGCACGGAAATGCCGTTTACCTTCCCGCCGGAGTAGTACCTATTTATCTACTTGCACTTTGTGTGCTTTCGAACTGCTAGGTTGGCAGGAGCAGGGACCGAACAACGGGAGCTCACTCTGTCATGGGGATTCGAACCGCCGACCTTCTGATTGGCAAGTCCTAGGCTCTGTGGTTTAACCCACAGTGCCACCCACGTCCCAATTCTCTCATACCTGATACTATTGGCCCAGCCCACACCATCAAGATGCCCAGAGGAGCATGGACACCTTGCCCAGCAGCCTAGACCAGGAGCAGCCGGGGAGCACAGAAAATAACAAATGCAAAAGCACCTGAAGTTACAGTTTCAAATTAGGTCGTTCGCTTTATTATATGAGATGAAGATAAACGTGATCCAGCTTTATTCAGGCCATTTTGGACTGGAGTCCTGTTCTAGCTAGGTTTACAATATGTGCTATTTTTTTGCTCATGTGCGAAACCTGGCCATTGTTTCGCAAGGTGAGGCTGCCCAATCCAGCTACGCTCCACAGTGCATTCATTTGGCAGAGTGTCTTTGGCTTAATCCTTGCTCAGTAGCAAGGGATTGTTTATCCAGGCGGCTTTCAGAACTGCATTGTACAGAGCATAATAGCAAGCTGATTCCCACAGCATTACTGCTCGACTGGGATTAGCATTTTTCAGCCTGGCGCTTTTAATGGGATGGGGATATTGTGCCCTGTCTCAACACTTGGCTAAACAGGCTGGCCTCCACTCCAGTCAAAGCAACACACCAGCTTTGATGAGTGTGAAAATGGCTCCGTAAGTAGTCTGTCTAGAAACTAAACAGTGGAAAGTGGAGTTGCCAGACTCCTGACTGCAAGAACATTGGCTCTGGGGCATCTTAAGCAGAAACAGGCTTTTGTGGGGTGGCAGTGTCCCCCCAGATCTTTGGAAGAGGCATGAGTCAGGAGCCAGCACCAGCAGCAGTGCTTGAATTATTTCTTTCTTTATTAGATTTACATAAAGTCCTTCTTGATAAGATATCAAGGGTGGTTCACAAAATAAAATACAGTGGTACCCTCAGTTTTTGAATGTAATCCGTTCTGGAAATCTGTTCGAGTTCCAAAACATTCAAAAACCAAAAACTGAAACTGGAAGCCTCAATATGGAAAACTCAGAATGGAAGCCACGTTTCCTGTTCCACTTCTGAGGCATGTTCGAAAACTGAAGCACTTACTTCTGGGTTAATAAAATCCATCTAGATTGCCCTGGTGTGGGGCCCCCTTAGGAGCAGCCCTCAGGGCCCAATTTTGGCTCAATTCTTCCAATTGCCTTAAGGTCAGCCCTGATGAGTATGTGCAGGGGTTGGACTGACAAGCCCTGCACCTTCTAGGTCCCTGGTGTCACTATTCAGAGTACAGACCCGAGGACTTGTAATAGAAATAAAGGGGGGGGCACTTATTGGAAATCAGTTTTGTCCCCTCCCCCCAAACCCTGGGACGATGAGCCCAGCCACCTTTTATTCATAGTCGCAGAAGCACTACACTACAGCATGGCCATAAAGATGTACATTCAACAGCTGAAATACACACCCAATATGTAGCAATGGAGATTTATGTTACTGCTTTATGAATGAATACTTTGTTTTATTAATGGACTCTGTAGTTTGTGAATTACCTAAGAACCAGCAATAGGGAGCTCTAGAATCTGAAATCTAACCAGTTGGGTACTACCAAACAGCGACCCCTATTGCAGAAAGCAGGTAACCAGCAGGGAACGCTTCAGCTCAGCCTTTGCACTGTTGACTAAACACACCCTGCTGTGCAGATAATGGAGAAAGCTCATAAATTGGTATTCCTTCTTTCATCCTGGCCAACTCTATTACGCTGGTGTAAACCCTGGTGCACCAGGAACCCAGAATAGCAGCAAATAAAATCCGCTCATATGTCAGTGACTGATAAGACTTGTCAACCTGTTATTCCAAAGTCTTTCTAGATTATAAAGCTCCAAAATACAGGCCAAAAGAGAGCAGTTCTGGACTGGAAAGAGCGAGCCATACAATGGGCACCACCAGTGAAAAGGTCCTGCTCCATGTAGCTCCTGCCCTGTCATTTGATGGGGTGCCCACTTGCCCTCCTTCTTGACATGGAATGCTCTCTAGTGGAGTCTCCAGGTCCAATATAAAGACCATAAGAAGGGAGAGCAGGGACCTTGAAGTTCCCAACAGCTGTTAAGCAAGCAAGCAAGCAAGCAAGCAAGCAAGCAAGCAAGCAAGCAAGCACACAGGTCACCTTTGTCACCTGTGCATCACGCCTATGTCCTGGCCAGGCCTGCACCCAATTTTGTTTCTGTACACTCTTGTTTGTTCTCAGGAACCAAAAACATATTATCGACATATACAAGGAGAAAAGATATTTTCCTTCATTTGCAAGGAATCGTACAAAACAAAGTAGAAACTAATAAGGAAAAGTTCCAGGGTGGCAACAGAAAGCAAACTAAAAATGCTTTTGCAGTTCATCAAAACTATCCAGCAACATCAAGTTATAGGAAAACTGGTGCTATTAAACCCTAGTTGGTTAATTGATTTGGCAACTTCCATGCACATGACGTGTGATGCTAATTATTTCCCCAAAGAGTTAAATGATAACTAATCAGAGCAGCTACAGTTGCAAATGTCAACAAAGTATCTGTGAAAGGAAGAGGAGCAGGTTTCCTCATGTGTGTTGCAGGCAGAAATACTGTTTGTAATGAAAAACAAAAAAAATATTCCTTCCAGTAGCACCTTAAAGACCAACTAAGTTAGTTCTTGGTATGAGCTTTCGTGTGCATGCACACTTCTTCAGATACCATGCATTCTTCTTGCATGCACACGAAAGCTCATACCAAGAACTAACTTAGTTGGTCTTTAAGGTGCTACTGGAAGGAATATTTTTTTGTTTTGACTATGGCAGACCAACACGGCTACCTATCTGTAACTGTTTGTAATGAAGTGAGAGCTGTAGTTTACTTGCTCAAATTAACAAATAAGAAAGTTTTGAGAATTTAAATTCTAGATTAAAATTGATTACTTATTTGAGAAGGGAATTGTAACAAAAACACTGGGGCCTAATTTGAATAATAGAGTGCCTGGTATCTGGTGGGCTATCTCATCCTTTATTTCCACACTGTGGCTGCAAACCAAATCACCTGTCAGGAGAGTTATGAGATTCAGGTAAGGGTCAGATGCTTGTCAATACCAGCAGGTATATAAGAGGATGACCACCTTCACCCTGGCTAGGCTTTCTTCATAAAGGATCACTTTGGGATGTTCTGAAAAACGAACCAGATGATACCCACCTGAAGATGATGTAATCTAGGTCTCTGTGTGGAAAAACCCCAACAGACATGGCAGTTATGAATTGGGGGCTAGAATAGAACTAGACACATAACCCTTGTGGATTCTGCCACCTGAGGCAGTTGCTTCACCTTGCCTCATGAGTAGACCGGCTTGGTAGAAGCATCTTGCTATGGAGTTCTGCTGTGAGATCAGTAGATTTGCTTTGTTGGAGTTTTTGTAGGTTGTGCCTCCACCTATATTGCATCTGTATATTTATAAATAAACATGACATATTACAAAATGCCTTAA